GGGCATATTTCTCCCTAAGTGGTTTTGGTGATTGACAATGCATTTGCGGACTAATCGTGTGCATTGAGCATTTCAGATATCTCATGGCTAGGCACTAGATGATTCGACGCCCCTCGGAGTTTCGAAGACGGCGGTTTTTTCTATGTTTCTTTTCGGTGGATTTGAGTCGTAGGAAAGCCGTACTATTAAGAGGGGGTCCGCTTCGGAAAGGTATGGGTGGAATCAACACGTACACAGCCCCATATGCACCCACTGCCTCCTTCCCATCTCCGGAGCCCTTCCTGTGTTTTCTGTGGCATTTTCAGCATCTTGCCAGCGGTAGTACCGCCTGTGCCCACGGTAGTACCGCTGGTACTTCCGTGGTACTGCCGCTTAGGGCCTCCCCGCGCATGCAACTTTCGGTTGCCCATTTGTCTCTCACGGTAGTACTGCGGTAGTACCGCTTAGGCAGTACAACAGCCCGTACTACCGTCTCCACTACCGCTTGTGGGGTGTTCTTGTGTGCAAGGTTCTGTTCCCGCTTTGCCTCTAGCGGTAGTAGAGTGGCACTAGGACGGTAGTACCGCTTGGCACGGTACTGCCGCCCCTGGCACCCTCTACTACAGCTGGCTCTCAAGGCCTAAGACCCAAGCGGTAGTACCGCTCGGGTCAGCGGTAGTACCGCTCCAGCGGCACTACCGTTGCTACACTCTATGTAGTCTTAGGGTTGTGTGGTGGTGTACTACCTAAGTGGTAGAACCGCTCCTAGGAGCGGTAGAACCGCTTAACTGCGGGCTGGGCAGAAAAACGGTTGGATTTTTGCTCTCCTATATAAAGGGGGGTCTTCTTCCTCCTAGTGTTGACCTCTTCCTTTCCTAAGCTCCATTTTCGCCCGATCTCTCTCCCTAGCCAATCAAACTTGTTGATTTTCTAGAGATTGGTTGAGAAGGCCCCAATCTACACTTCCACCAAGAGAAATTTGATTCCCCCCACTAATCCCTTGCGGATCTTGTTACTCTTGGGTGTTTGAGCACCCTAGACGGTTGAGGTCACCGCGGAGCCATATTCCATTGTGGTGAACCTTCATGGTGTCATTGGGAGCCTCCAATTAAGTTGTGGAGATTGCCACAACCTTGTTTGTACAGGTTCAGTCGCCGCCTCCAAGGGCACCAATAGTGGAATCACGGCATCTCACATTGTGTGAGGGCGTGAGGAGAATATGGTGGCCCTAGTGGCTTCTTGGGGAGCATTGTGCCTCCACACCGCTCCAACGGAGACATACTTCCTCTCAAAAGGAAGGAACTTCGGTAACACATCCTCGTCTCCACCGGTTCCACTCTTGGTTATCTCTAACCTTTACTTGTGCAAGCTTATATTGTGTTGTATCCCTTGCTTGCTTGTGTGCTTGTTGCTGTTGCATCATATAGGTTGCTCACTGAGTTGCATATCTAGACAACCTACTTTGATGCAAAGTTTAAATTGGTAAAGAAAAGCTAAAAATTGTTAGTTGCCTATTCACCCCCCCCCCCTCTAGTCAACTATATCGATCCTTTCAGCAGGTACATGGATGGAGATGTGGACCCCTCAAGCTACTAAAGGACAAGCGTTGGTAAAAGCTTCAAGACTCTACCTTTTTGGTTAAGTGGTCCAAGATCACATTGAGTCCACAGGAAAGACAATACTATTAAAAGGGATGAGGTTTTGATTCTGGTATATTTGCTCAAGTGCTTAGAGATATTGCTCCAAACCCTCCGCCGCACTCTCACATTCATCTATGTCCCAAACCCTAAAACCTATCTTGGCCCCACCGAAACACATACATCCAGACCCATCGAGATACACTTGGCATAGCCACTGGCTAAACCCTGGCAACTCGGTCCCACCGAGATGACCCTTCGGTCTTACCGAAGAGCACTTGCCAACCTTCTTTAACCTATCGATTACATCTCAGAAATTCCAAGTGGTTCCGATCGGTGTCACGGCATTGTGGAAAGTGATTAGGTCATCACCATTCAGTCTCACCGAGCTGTTCCATCTGGTCTCACCGAAAAGCATAAAGTTCAAACCTTTTCTACTAGTTAGTCTCATCAAGTGTCTTCATCTGGTCCCACAGAGTAGTGCATAAAGGTGTGTAACGGTTAGATTTTTGGTGTTGCCTAGCTTGCGCTCGCCTGAATATTCGCTCCTTGTGACATACCCATAATTTTTAATGTGATTACCTTTTGTCGTTACGAATTACGTAGAACTCAATGTATGACCTTTTATGTGTTCACCCTTCAGATTGCTGAACATGCACGCATTCATTTTTTTTGATTCACCGTGCTTGCATAAGTACTTCTTTCCTTGCTATATAATTAAGTGAAATTATGATATAGTCATATTTATTTTGAACGTTAGGGCCTTGTTTAGCAGTTTTTTTCTAAGGGCCCTAAATTCCTACAGACTAGTCTGATTCAAATCCATTTTGATCTTAAGAACAGGGTGTGCCATCAATACATACTGTATATGATAATTGGTACCATAGCTGGCCAAACGTGCCAGCCATGCCCGCTTAGGCACGATTATTCTACGGGCCCTGCAGCCTGTAGCCCAGGCACGGCCCGACTGCTAATCGGGCCGGCCCACCGGCACGCCAGGCATGCTAATCTGACTGCTATTTGGTGCACTGGGCGTTTTTAGCCTATTTTTACATGTTGGGCCATATAGAAATATATAAAAATAGAAAAAGATAACCGGGTCATGCCGTGCCGGCCCACGTGCTCAGCCTAGCAACCCAAGCATGACCCAGGGTGTGTCGCTTGCCGGTCCCGACCCGTTTAGCCCGTGTCGTGCTTGGCTCACGACGGGCCGTGCCGGCGTGCTCGCGGGCCGGTCTGGTTGGCCCGGCCCATTTGACCAGCTATAATTGGTACCAATTTAATGCTTTAGTTATCCTGAAAGGTTTGGGAGGAAATTTTTAATTTTCCTATATCAATTATGGAGAGAAATAAATGCCTAAATCAAATCTTCACATAAAAGGGTTAAAATGCATGTATAATTACAAACAAGCTAATATTTATCGACGCCTTAAACATCAATACTAGCTAAGTTTAGCTCTTCAACAAACATAAGACGTCAATAAACATAACCATTTGGATAAGCGTTGATGCCAAAAATTAATATCTCATAAAAATAACCATCTTAATATCCACGTACTTTAACTATATATATGGATCATGAATGTACTCATACTTTCATCTGTTCGAGTTTGGAAGAATATCTGAAAATACATCATCGACACATGACGAACATGGGTAAAGGACCAGTGGGAACCAACAAGACATTGATATGCTTGTGGTTGGTGATGCTGCTTCTCCTTTCATCTGGTAGGAACACAATTAACCTATACATCTCCAATTCATACTAATCCAAGTTAACTTAATTACTTGATACTTATTGTTTGCTAATGGATGCAGAAAAGATGGGATCTGAAGGTTGTAAAGGTCATGATAGCCAAACCTGGGATGGCAACATGTGTGTAAAGCACGGCACCTGCAATGTGGTCTGCCAGAGAGAGGGTTATGACAGAGGCCGCTGCTACGTGACTGTATGCATGTGCTACAAGAACTGCGTTGCTTTACCAATTTAGGCATGCTCGATCGGTGTGCTAGTCATGCAATAAAATAAAGGATTTGTGCTTGATGGTGTAATGTTCACTTGCTCTTTTTAGCCCGCTTTTGCTTGATTATGATTAACACTGCTCATTGCAGACATCGTTTATTAGTTTTCAATGATAACATTAGTAAATTACTAAACAATATCAACCGCCCGCGAGATTGGTTGAAAAACGTGGCTGCGAGATCAGTTTGCCCGGCCGTGAGATCGACAGTAGAGAACAACCTTTTTCCGCGAGATTGAGGGACGTGCGGCTGCGAACACTGCCCTATTTTTTCAGTTGGTGCCTTGGACATCTAAAGCCCAGCAGGCCCAAATAATGGCAGGTCGTCCATTTTGTTACAGGAGCAGCGGCCCATTCCGTATGGCGATCTGTGGTTACTTACGAGCTTTTGCAAATCGATCCAACGGTCAAAAATTCTTAAACTCGTTGATCTAATGGCCAGAAAAGGTACTCAGTTATAATGTATCTAAATAAATGTGCTGTGCTGTTAGCATTTTATTACGAGTAATCCTAAACGTACGGGGGTTTTACGAGTGTGTTACGGACCCCCTCTTGCTAATTCGCTCGCCCCTCCTGATTTCAGGGGGTGGGGGCCCGGCTGCTAATCCTAAACCAATCAGTTTGCTCCACATCAGCCTGTGCAATAAACCCTGTAAAACAAGTCTGTAGCTCTAGCATTACTCTTTTATTACTGTGTGTTGTGTTGTTAGGCTGTTACTTCAAACACCAAGCAGACGGGTCTCGTTTTACACATCCAAGACCATACTATGCCCTGAACATGGCTACATTTTACTCTCACACACACAGTACTTGAGAGGCAAACAGCCAGGTACGGTACGGATTAGGGTGAGTCGGAGTGGTGAGACATGTGACATGAAGAGAAATGATGCCCAAACCTGTGATGGGCCCGACGACGCTTGTCGAACGGACGGACACCAGGCCATGGGCAAGCAGAGAGCGGTGCCCATGTCTCTGATGGGTCAATGCACAGGCCAAAACATCACCCTCCCTCTACAGCAAAGGGAGATCCAACAAGATATGCACCATTCTGGAGAACACACACTACAGTCTACACTACATATATGCACATTTGTTGTCCCCAGGCTCATTCATGGCCAGAACATCACCATCATCATCTTACATGAACCTCAACCACCAGCATGTGCCATGAAGCTATTTTGCCACACTTGTTGTTCGGCCTCTACATTGCTGGTTCCCATCTGGACAAACTGAATTCAGCTCAAGAAGCTGAAATGGTGGGACTGTATGGCCGGCCGGGGTCCGATCCAGCTCCATTCGGCGTCGTCTGGCGCGATGGAAGATGTTCTGAAGAAACTTTCTGCTAGAACGATGATGGAGGTGGCTAGAAGCTGTGGAGCTGGGCAAGCATCGCGACGAGTTCATCGCTGGATGGCCGATCGGCGGGCAGCTCCGAGAGGCACACGATGGCGACCCTGACGGCCATCACCATCTCCTCCTCGTCGACCTCCTCCCCTACGATGCTGCTGTCCAGCGCTTCTTTCGTGTCGCCGGAATGCTGCATGTGACGGAGCCATCGAGCCAGGCTGCCCCGTCCACTTTCTCCTGAGAAAAACGGGTCTGCGGGGTCTTTCCCGGTGAGCAGAACGCCAAGGATCATGCCGAAGGCATAGACGTCGCACTTATCCGTGTACCTGCACAAGCATATGTTTGAATCTAAATGCTCAGAAACACCTAATAAGAGCTGAAAAACATATGGATGGCAGCACATGATATTGAAGTTCTGAACCATCTAACAGAAGAAAAACACAAGCTCTATTAGGATTGACCACTAAAGTTGCAAAATTGATGATCAACCATGACAAAATAAACAAATCATGAGTTACTGATCTGGTTAAAGTAGTCTGGTTAAAAGTCCTTATCTGCATGTTAACTTCCCATAAGTTTACCGATGATGTACTTATCTGAAGGATATTGGAATAAGAATATAGAACACCAATCCTGAAAGCATCTATTCTCTGATTGATATACAAGAGGCTAGAATGAAATATATCGATATTTTTTAGTAGAACAGGGTGTGGGCCAACAGCTGTATGTGCTCATGCGGGAATATATGGAAAGCGTAACAATCAAAGGTAATTCAAAAAGGTTAGATGCAGGTTCCCTAACAAAGTAAAGATTCTCCAGTTACAAAAAGCAAAAGCTGGGTACCTTCGATTAAGCCCTCTGGTATTCTTTATTAATATGCTTTATGTTTTCTCTCTTACTCATTTCACTGATTAAATTTAAATGGCGCAGAAGTGAAGTCTACTTATCGTCAACACAGTCAAATGACTAGAAAACCAAATTCAGAAGAGTCTAATGAAAGGAAACAGACAACACTGTTTGCTAGCCAATGATTACGCACTGTTAACTGGGGACGCAAATCGAAAGAAACTATGGATGCAAGCAATAATGAAATGGAATGTCAAATACTTGTTTTGGTAGTGTACATAATGTTGCAAATGCTTGTGCTAGTTCAAATGAAAAAAAAATGGTCTGATATTATCACCACAGAATTACACATTTAGTTGCCAGATGAATAAGTATAAACAACAACAACAACAACAAAGCCTTTAGTCCCAAGCAAGTTGGGGTAGGCTAGAGGTGAAACCCATAAGATCTCGCAACCAACTCATGGCTCTGGCACATGGATAGCAAGCTTCCATGCACCCCTGTCCATAGCTAGCTCTTCGGTGATACCCCAATCCTTCAGGTCTCTCTTAACGGACTCCTCCCATGCCAGATGAATAAGTATGGGTTAACAAAATTTTAATGAGCTGTTGCTATCACACATCACAGATTTCTAGCAATCTGAAATACCTCTTGTTTGCTTCATATCTACAAAATTGTGGTATGCAACATTTGAACATGCACACACATGATATCTGCTTCTAATAAAAAAATACAAAATCTAACAGCAAAAATTCTTGATTTTACGAAAGATATATTTAGAGCTACCTTCCTCGCAGTGATAACGATGCACATCCTAGGTTTAATTTTCCCTCATTATAATTTATAATGAACAGACAAACAAACCACATTGTCAATTTGAGAAAGTAGTAGTTATACTGCAATATGCAAGGTACTAGATTTAGCTGAATTGAACACTGAACTCTGAAAAAAGATAACACATCGAATTTTACCTGCTACTTTGGTAGCACTCTGGAGCTGCGTAGAGGCTGCCGGACGACTCCGGATCAGGCGAACCCGAATCGAGCAGCCTCGCAACGCCGCAATCCGCCAGCACCGGTTCAAACCCTTCTTCCAGCATCACATTCGACGGCTTGAGGTTGCAATGCAGTATCCTGGGGTTGCACTCGAAGTGCAGGTGGCGCAGTCCCTTGGCCACCCCGGCCGCAATCCTGTTCCTGGTGTCCCAGCTGAGGCTGACCTGCTGCGACCTCACCCTCTTCATCACGTCCTCGAGGCTGCCCCCCGGGACGAAGTCGTAGACGAGCGAGAGCCGGTCGGCGTCGCGGACGTAGGCCTTGAGGCTCATCACGTTGAGGTGCCTCACCCGGGCGAGCAGCTCCAGCTGCCGCTGCACCCTCCGCATGTCGGACTTGGAGCCGCTCGCCGGCCGCGAGGGCGACGGCGAGGGTGAGGGTGAGGCGCCGGCGGCGGCGGCGAGGTCGAGCACCTTGACGGCGACGGTGAGGTCGCCGTCGAGGTCGAGCTTGTGGTACGTCCCGCGGGGCCCGCGTGCAAGCGGGCGCGCGGAGGGGAGCGCGCACTGGAGGCTCTTGGGCGAGATTTGCGGGGTGAAGGAGACGGGCCCCCTGGCGACGGCCGGCGCGTTCCCGGCGTGGAGCACGGCGACGCGGATGGCGTAGAGGAAGGCGAGCGAGAGGATGAAGCCGGCGAGCGAGCCGAGGAGCACGCCGAGCGCGATGCGGCGGAGGCGGGCCGCGCCGCCGGCCTGCGCGCGGGGGCCCCTGGGCTGCGGCGGCGGGAGGGGCGCGGCCGGGGACTGCGTGGCGGGCAGGGGCTGGGAGTGCAGCGGCGGCTGGGAGGCGCAGAGCGGGAGGTCGGCGAGCAAGAGGACGAGGAGGAGGAGAGTGGCGAGGGTTTTTGTAGGGTTCTTGGCCGCCGCCGCCGCCGTCCCGGCTCCCGTAGCCATTGGAGCAAAGAACCGATTTGGCAGCGGGGAGGAGAGAAAAATTCGCTCTAGGGATAATGCTCGAGGAATAGAATCAAAGAGTGGTGTACCAAGATGCCATTTTCCGCATGCTTCCTGCTTATCAACAAGGGGGAGATGAGATTGATTGCAGCCGAAAGAGGACAGCGAAACGGAAACGAGCAAGCTCACTCAGCGCAATGAATAGGGCTCGCCGATTTCGCAGGAGAGGGCGCGAGGAGCTCTGCACGGTGCCAAAATTATACCTGACGACGACGAGGAAGAAGGCAGAAACGGCGAAAACGTCGCCTTGCTCCTCCTCCTCCTCCTCCGCAGGGGCAGAGCAGGCGTGCGAGAGAGAGAGAGCCGCTCACCGTCACGTCACGCGGCCCGCGCCTCCTACCAAGACGAGCGGGCGAGCTTCTCCCTCCCGAGAGGAGCTTTAAGTCGAAACGGAACGGCGGGGCGAGAAGAGAGAAACAGTCCCAGGCTCCCACGGTGAGCGGAGGGGAGCGGAGCAGGGGGCAGCAAAGGCGTTGGCGTGGGGGAATCAAAAGGGCGGGCGAGGCTTTCTGGGTTGCCGGCGCATCTCGCAGCTCAGCTCAGGCTCAGCACGCACGCACGGCACGCACGCAGCCACGGGACAGGGCATGGAGACCGGAACCAGACATTCTCCTCCCCCGTCCGTCCGTCCGCCTGGATTCCCTCCCCCGTTTTCACCCCACCCCACCACGGTTGGGTTTACGTTTACCACGGTGTGGCTCTAGCGGCAGCAGATAGCATGGGGGGGAGAGACGAGGGGGAGGGGGGGGAGCCCGAGACGGAGCAGGGGCGCGTGGATACTCGCGCGCCATGCCCAGACCCTGTCCCCGAAAACCTACTCTACACCCCTGTCCCTCCTCAAAGTCCCCCACACGCACGCCGTAGCGCCACTGTTGCCGCAATCAATCCCCTCCTCCGCCCATATCCGGTAAGTTTCCTCCTGCGCCAGTAATGGTAAACCGAATTTTGACCGGCTGCTTATTAATCTCTCGCTCCCGTGGAGATTTCTTAACCTAAACGTGGTTATCCACTGAATGGACTGTTGTTCGTTTCGTTTGCATCTGCACTGCAGAGGGGCGGCAGATGCAGAGAAAAATTATGATTAGCGGACCTGGTAGTGGGGTAAAAAGCGGGGTAATTATGCCCCCAGGCCCGTACTTTGAGAGCGTCTGGCTCCTTTTTCCGCCGCTTTCTTTTTGTTCGCTCCACCCTCTTTTCGGCCCTCACGGCGCCCCCGCCGGCTGCCATGTGGGGCCACCTCGCCCACGTGCCGTGAGACGGGCCCGTGCGAATTTTTTTAGAAAATCTCGTCCCATGCGTGCGTGCTTCTGGTTTTAGTACTCCCTCCGTCCAGCGAAAACTGTATGCTTGGTTTTAAAATTTGTTCATGAAAGAATGTATTTTTATCTTCTCAACGCACTTGAAAAAAAATTGTCTCTCATCACACGGTAATCAAGACCAATAACATTTGACACATAGTCTTTTTTAATTTCTACATGCACTTAACTTATTAGGGTTTGAGTAATTAAAAAGAAGAGAGATGTTGGCTTGTACTTCCTCCGTCCCAAAATAAATGACCCAACTTTATATTAGCTTTAGTATAAAATTAGTATAAAATTGGGTCATTTATTTGGAACGGAGGGAGTTATCTTTTTAATGATTTTTTATCCCACTTTATAATTTGTCTTCAAATTTCTATATGTACAATTTTCATCGGATGAAGGGGGTAGCTCTTTATTTCAGTTAGTAGAAGTGGACAGTCACACATACGGTCCAAAATCTAATGTTTTCCTTTCTAACACTGAAGGGCGCCAAAAGGTGCGAAAATTCATTTCCGCACCCAAGCTCATCTGCACCCGCGTCAAAATACTAAAAAAATTCAAAAGTTTCCAAATCAAATATGTAAGGTAGACAATTTGATGCGTGAGGCCCGCCCCAAATTTCAAGTCATTTGGACATATGAGCGGTTCTCGGCAAAAAAGACAAATTGGTGGTCTGTAAAAATGTTTACTGTTCATGTACTGTTTTGGCCCGATTTGTTTTTTTTGCTGAGAGCTGCTCATATGTCCAGATGACTTGAAATTTGGAACGATCTCACGCATCAAATTATCTACCACACAAATTTTATTTAGAATTTTTTAAATTTGTTTTGAATTTTTTACAAATTTGTTTCTAACCAGGTGCAGAGCCTGGCCACCAAAAGGCCCTACTCGCCAAAGGTGCATATTTTCAGCTCCACAACAATTTACAACACAGATTACAAAGCCCTGGCAAATGAAACGAGCTAACGACTGAACTAGAGGGCAACATCTGTTCGTATGTGCTGAGTTGACACAACTGAAAGTAGGTTCTGCTGAAGATCGGTTCAGAACCTAATATGAACAATTATGAGCAGTGGCGAAGGTAGGACTACTTTTCAGGTGTGGCGGGTTTATAAAGGAGAAAACAATGTATAACAAAATCACTGAGAGAAAATCAAAAGGACTAGAATAGACTCAATGTTGACGGGAAAAAAATGCTTTCATTGTGTATTTATTTCTCTTCTTCTTCGACGCCATCTGCATAGTAATGCTCCCAGCCTCCACGGCATCTGCCTTGCCTGGCCAGCTGATGTGCCACTGCGTGCCGCTCTCTGCTCGCTGATTGTTGTTGTAACCGTGCCCTGTCGCCGTGCTGCAGAGCGGATGTAAGAGCAACTTCAACGGGCCGACCTAAACGAACGGTGTTTTTGTCCATTTTTTGTTTGTTTGGGTCGGCCGCCCGCCCACCGTCCGCCCCTTTTTAGTTTTGGGTCGGTAGTGCGTCCAACGGGTCGATCCATTTCATGACCGCGCGCGTTTAACATCATGTCGTCGCCGACGCTTCAGCGCGCGGGGAAAAGCGGCCTAGCGTGCTGGTTTTGGCGCTCCAGCGCGCGGAAAAGGTTCGCGCACGCGCCGCGGCCGGCGCTCGCTATAAAGAAGACGCTCCCTCCACACTCTGTCGGCCGCCCACTCTCGCCGCCTCTGCGCCACCATGTCGATCCGCCGCCTGGGCGCTTCGGATTTTTGCGAAGTCCGCGAGTGCCGCTCCGGCGCCTTCTCCGCCGACATCTGGTTTCGCGAGAAACGTCTTGTCCTCGGCACTTTCGACACCGCAGAGAAGGCGACCCGCGCGCACGACGCGGCGGCGTGGTGCATCCTAAGGCCTCGTCGGGATATGAATTTTCCCAACGTGTCGAGCCAGCGGGCGCAGGATCTGACGCCTCTCCCGCGGCTTTTCACCGACGAGGATCGTCGTGTCCACCGAAGGCGGCAGCGTCGCCTCCCCATCGCAGAGAAGGACGTGGAAGCCTTGGTGGTGTGGCGCGGAGGCTACTCGCAGGACGTCGTCGACGAGCGCCAGTTCTACAAGCAATTGAGATCGGAGAGGGACGCGAGGAGGAAGGAGCAAGCCGCCTATCGGGAGGACAAGCGTTTGCGGAAGCATGCAGCTCAACTGAAACTGAAGCTACAAGAAACGTCGGGTTGGGACTTTGAAGACGAGCAGCTTGCTGACGCCTACCTTCAAACGTCGAAGAAGGACATTACCGAGTCGGAGTCAGAAAGCGACGAGTAGTGGTATTTTTCTTTTATCTGTGTACGCTAGAACTATCTATGTATCTATTTTAATTTAAAAAAATGGTCGGCGACGTCGGCGACGTAGCAGGCGGGCGAGTGTGTGAATTCGATGTGCCACCGACCAGTGGGCCCGATGAGGAAACAGGGCGAGCGCGCGCATGTCCGTCTTGTGTCCGCGCCGACGCAAACCAGGCTCAAAAATGGATTGGCAGGCGGACGAAAGCGGACACGCGTCCGTTTGAGTCGGCGCGTTGGGTTGGTATTTTTGTACGCGCCGACTCAAACGGACGGACGCGGACGAAATGGATCGTTCCATTGGAATTGCTCTAATCGCTAGCAATTTTACTTAGGTATGTGCAAGTCGCTCAGTTAAGTCAGCGGCAATCAGGCCGACGGCCCATTGGCCATGAATGTTAATTACCTATCAATCAGGCGTAGGCAGCCACGGTGCCCAGCTTGGCTCAAATCACAAATACTCCCTCTGTAAACTAATATAAAAGCGTTTAGATCACTACTTTAGTATTTTAAAAGCTTTTATATTAGTTTACGGAGGGAGTACGTAATATAAATACGTTTTTAACATTAGTGTAGTGTCAAAAATGCTTATATATTATGGGATAGAAAGAGTAATATTTACCAACACATCTACAGTACTATTTACAGCAAGCAAATTAGGTGTGGCTACCGCCGAGCCATGCCAGATTGCCGGCTCTGCCCCTGATTATGATACACTGTTGAGGTCTCTTGAGATATTGTACATATGAGCTTGCAGGCCGGCAGAGACAAGATGATAACCTGCTAAATGCTTCCTAATTTTTTAATTGATCTTGTCTAGATAGATACATTTCTTTATGTTGTTGTCTTGGCTAAGGTCAAGTTGCTAGTGAGGAATGTAACTTGTTGCAGTTGAAGATGTTGGCAGAATTTTGCCGCGAGTAGGAGACCTAATGCTTCAGCATGTAGTGGCCAAGTTACAACTGGACCAGAGGCCTATACCATAATTTTGTAAGTTGTAGTTTTTTTCAGAAAATTGTAGAAACACTCAGATCCCTGTCTCAGTTCCTCCAGCAGAGGCAGGAATTATTTTGGTTCTTCTAGGAGGCATCTAGGAAGCTTTTGGACCTGTAATAAGCAAATCGGACTTGATGGTGCCCCCTGCACAAGATTTGCAAATGGTTGCATAGGTTGTCAGGTTTTGGCTGGAAGTTATTGCCTTCGTCCCATGGGAAACCTGCATACGAGCAGCCACTTTCCTGCCAAAGAAATTATCATTTCTAGATCCCCATAAGCACCACATGAAAGTGAAAGTATTTTCTATAGAAGCACGTGGATGGCGCAAATTAAGAAGTGTTTGAATAATCT